CGTTAACACCTTTTAATAAAGTGGGCCCCGGCTACCTCTCTAACCAGACGAAACGCAGATGTTTAACACTTCCACCTCACGCCGGTGACTGATACTTCTCCAGACGGAAAACCATTCTGCAACATTCTGCAACATCCTGCCCATTCGTGCAACAGCGAATACTGTTGTGTGGCCCTCCCATTGTTAGGTATTTACAAAATCGTATCAGTTTATGGTTCAATTGTTTAAAAAAAGCCAATGCTGTTTTTATTGAAATTTAAGCTTTTTTGAGTGACTTTGGTTACCGACCTTGTCAGTTGGATATACATAATATTGCTATGTCCGAAAATATAACGTTAATTTTCTTTTAAAACGAGTCATTCCGAATTGTAAACTGCAACAATCAAAAGTTCTGTAATTGCTGCATAATCTTAAATTAGCTATTTGCGCAATATTCTGCTTTTCTTTATTATGACATCTTAAAAACACTTATATCCCAATCAAATTTAATGCGTAAAAAGGACACGACCATTACAGTAAATGACGTGAGAATGTGCAATGCTTATCAAATAACTTTTTGATAAAAACTCGTTACACTTTCCAGCCGCCTTCCTACTCCTATTCGAATAGGTTGTGGACGTATCAGTAAAGAAGTTTGGAAAATCCAAAAGCGCATCTTTCGTACCACTAACACTGAATTACTTTAGTTATTTGTATTATTTAGACAATATGACAAAATAAAAAAAAAACAATTTATTAATAAACTACGGGACTAGGCTATTGAAACTGTATGGTAACTAGTTGATGTTATTCTGAAGTTAATAAACAAAACCCGGTCTTCATACGTAATTTTTTCGTGACTTATCGTGAACCACCTCGAAAAAAAATCCGGATGTCCATATAATTTTTTTTAAATAGCAAAATAAGATTGTTTTTTTTCGGAATATGATATAGATTATATTTTAAACTCTAATCATATTGATTGTGGTAGAGGCAGTTTAACAGCAAAAAAATTCTTGACTATGACGTGTCGAGAGAGTATGAGGGGTGCAATTACGACTGACACTTGTTTTTTAAGTACATACCCGTCCGGAAAAATCTAAATTGAGCTCCTTGACTCTGTAGACTTATAGCAGCTAGACAGAAATTGGATGCAAGAGTGTCGCCTATCCAGAAATATTTTCATCCTCCTTTAGGATTATTGCCTTTATAAAGATATTCTATTGGCTTACAGTATCGTAAACAATATAGACGTCAAGACGAACTAAAATATTTATATACAAGGTTTTTTTTTCGCATAGCTATATAAAGTGCCTAAATGTCAACAAAACATTAACACTATGCTAAAGTTTCAAATAAAAAACCATTGCCGCCTTCTCCATTACTCGTTTTCGGCGTGACGCAATTCGTCTCGGTTGTGAGCATGGATAAAGAAAGTGATTCCGGATAATTGATACATATCAATAACAAGGTGGTAATAAAGAAGCTGGGCTTCGATAATAGGCATACATATTGAGTTTGCAAAGCAAAAGACGTGTTAATAGTTAAACAAGTAATGCAGTCAAAGGAGCATATAACAGTTATAAGCGTTTCAATTAACAATTTTAAGCGTTTCAAGTAACAATTTTAAGGACAAAATTGGAATGTAATACAATTTTTAAAATATTTGCACCAGAAACATTTATTTAACACTGGTTCATGTATTTAAACATTGGCCATTTCTATGTTATTATGTTTTGTGAGTATTATTTTAATATTTATTTACAACAAAATTTTATTGCCAATTTATTTACCTTATTTAATTAATATTTATTGAAAAAAAAAGTAGCGTTTGTTGTATTGCTTAAATTCATACTTTTCAGATAAATACTTTGGATTATTATTTCTTCATACCCAAGTCATTGCGCTAGAGTGTCGCTCAAGAACCCAAATTTGCGCCACCGACGGTAAGACTTACCCTACCATATGTCACATGAAAAAAGCCGCGTTCGAAGACGTTGATCTGCAAATTCTACACGATGGGCCTTGTTATTTGCCACTGAATAAATTGGAGAAAGCCCAGGCGGATTATATAAAACGCACAGAGATTCAACAGAAAAACGCAACAAACAGCTCGGGGAAGAAGAACGCTCAGATTGTATTGAAAATTGACGATCAAAATCTACGCATTCGATTGCATGGATGCGAAGGGTGCTGGAAGGCATGTTCCCGCGAATTCGACAATTTTTCCATCATGTTAGCGGGAGGCTGTGTGCGATGTTGCTTTAAAAAGCTGATGATTAACAAGCTCAAGTCCGAATCCCTTCCTCATCCACATTGGTTGCGAAAAAAGGCGATTCAAAGATTTAATTCGAACCAAAAGGAAAAGGTGATGTTTATTAATAAACTTTTATAAACTGAAAACCATCAGTTATATTTTTTTGTATTAATATTCACGCTAGTTCTTGTTTAATGACACAACTTGTTACACTGCATTCTAAAGGTGTAAGTTATTACCCTTGTGTTATTTGGAAATAGTTGATATATTATATATCTACCTGTATATTATATATTGCCCCTGTACAGACAATGTGACATTGATTCTAAAAAATATAATAAAACCATTGAATTCGATTGAGAAAGAAAAGAGTAAGTTTCATCAATTAAATACTACTAGGTCATACGTTAAGTTTATAAAAAACTAAACGTAAATATAAAACTTTTATAAACTAGACTTTAGGTATTTGTGTGAAAATTAAAATTATGTATTTATATAATTTTACAAATTAAATTTCACATGGTCGAACAAAAGAAGTATTATGCCCACGGGAGCGAAGTATCTAGGGCCACTGCTAGTACTAGTATTAGTACTTACACTGTAATACTGGCAATGCAGTTTTAATCCCCCAGGTGTTGTGATATGAATCAGCAACGGGAATCACCAGCTCGATTGTAAACAAAAAAATTATGATAATATGAAAATTTTATTACAAATTAATATTAACAAAACGAAAGTTGATGTTTCAGCAGGCACACATAGAGAACCGTGGGAAATGGTACATGTCAGTTTCTAAAACATTCGCTCCCTTTTTTATTTTAAAGTCGCGGTGAATAAGGAACTCGAAGACTCTCTTTTTGAGAAATGAATTAAGTGTGTTTCCAGCCCTGATAGTAGCACTATCGGGGCACATCGGTGAAACGCAAAAGTAGCCTTCACGCCAGTCTACCCTGAGGCTGTGCTACATCCCTGTCAGTAGTCTTGCTAGCCTTATTGTTCAGAAGAAGCTCTTTATAAACTGTTACTTCACAACCATTTTCATGTGGTCAGTATTTTAAATTAAGGTTAAAGGAAGTCGATGTTTACTGTAGACTGGTTATTGCGTTCGATGTTAAAAACAACACTGTATATATATTATATTGTATTGCAATCCGCGGGGTCCCTCATGAAAATGAGTGTTCCACAGGGTTCAATCTGGGGCCCATTATTATTTACAGTATATATAAATGATCTCCCCTTTTATGCCAGTGAGTTTTGTGATGTCGTACTGTTTGCTGACGATACATCACTCATTTTTAAGGTAAATTGTAAATTGTAAAATAATGTTATAAGTCATATTATACCATTGTAAACTGACCTTTTAAAAAAAGAGCAACTATTGAGTTTCTTGGCGATCTCTTCTCAACAGAGAGCTTTCCCAACCGGTGGTCACTTACTTATGAACTTACTTACGTTACTCGTATACAATATTATTTAAAAAAAGGCATTTTGAAATCGGACCACAAATGGGGGATAAATCGGTGAACATACATAAAAAAAAAACATTTCCACGTCAAGTATTCGATTTGCACGAATATTTAGCTGATATAGTATAATAGGCCCCTGTAGACAGGGCCAGATTTAGAGGTCTGAAGAAAAAAATATAAATGGAGGTCTGGAGAAAAAGAAAAAAAAAACGCAAAAAAATATGCTAAGGAAAAGTTGTTTACTATTGTTTACTAGTCTGAATTTTTTTTTCCGAAGTCTATTGTGGGGGCCCCTCGTTGCTGTTACCCCGGTTGCCCTCCCCTAAATCCGGCCCTGTCTATAGGATATCTCCGGCCAGGTGTAGCCACGATCAGCGCAAGGGCAAAATTGAAATATGTGGCTCGCTTTGGAGCAGGTATTGGCGTGTTCATAATGACGATGATGACATACATATTTAAATTATTTGAATTTTTTAACAGTTTTCACAATGGGCATTGTTGTGAAGACGTCCGTCATAGTGTTATGACAATAGGACAATCGCTAACTGAATTGTCTCATAGATATGTCATCAATCGCATTCCAAACATGAAACATATTAAAATAAAGGGTACGGAAGTATATGCAATCAAACGATTTCCATCTGACTTACTACCATTCCAACTTTTTTCAATCGGTTTTGACAATACTTTTCCGTGAAAAAATCTCGGTTACGAATAATTGCTACAAAGTATAATCGATTGCTCGTGTTAGCCAACATTTGCCTTGGATAAAAAGTATGCTGAATGTTGTGCAGTAATTTGTTAGTGTAATGTTTAATTTTCGTCGATTGTCGTCCTTGGCACACATGATAAACATAATTTCATCTCAGTATTCTACGATTGTTGAGAAGTAGCTCCATGAGAAATAACTAAATTGAAAGTTCTTCATTATCATTAATTTTTGCAATAGTTTTGTGATTAAAACGTATGATATTTGTCTGTTTTCTAAAATAATTCAACTACATAAAACAAATGAATTGCTCATCTTATAAACATAAAAAGTAAGATAATTGGATAAAAAAGTAAAACAATAACGCGTCGCCTTCTTTTAAAAGCAACGTCTTTTCCGGGTAACCTTAGTGACAATTATTGGGAAGTTTGTCAAAACAGGAAGTTAAGACATAGCAAAAATGTTTACTTTAATATTGAAATACAGTCAAAAATTATTTATAAATTAGGTGTATATAAGGGATATAGGAACATTATATACATGGGCAGAAATTTCCTAGTCAAATAAAGACTGTTCTATTTATCTCTTATCCATGGAAGGGCCATTTCTTAGGTTCAAAGTCCTCAATATCGGTAATAGCGTTATCATCGTAATAGGAGTATGAAATTCGTTGCTTTCCATTAATCGACAACTTCTTTTTCGATAGCTCCTTTTTTAATGACGTCTTTTGACCTGAGCCCGTGTGAACTTCGCGTAGGCCCTTCCGTGTCAGCTTCGGTAGTTTTGAGGAGCAGATGTCTTTTTTAAAGTATTTTCCAGGTCTAGTCATTCGGAAGGACAATGGACGCTCTTCAACACGATTGCTCACGCCTCCCACTCCGGTGTAAGGGCCTTCCGCCTGGATCGACCGCAACGAATACGTGCGGAAGTGTGTTTCGCAGATAGAATTGGTTTTGTTCGATCTCAGTAAACCCGGAAAGGGCGTAATGTAACCGCCGTACGTGTACGATATAAATAAAACTGTTAAGAGAGAGAAACACAATATTAGTTTCTATACAAATAAGCGTTTCCAAATGGAAGTAACTGTAACCATATACAGAAGGATTTATTATTGCAACACTACAATGTGAGCACTTAACAAGAATTAATATTAAAGAAATAAAAGATACCAACTGTGCAGCATACCCCGCCCGATAAGCATTTTGTATAGTTCATTGTGAATTATTCCTTTTGTTAAAATGCGTTTTAATAGATGTCGAAAGTTTACGTTTTGTATCTTAAAGCCGACAGTCCGTACTGTGTGAGGTATTTCGTATTTATGAAGTCGCAGCAGTCGTATGGGCACATTACTAATCAAAAATGTCGTGTAAATGAAAAAGCAATCGATAAACTCATGTAACCGAATAAATAATTTGTAAAATGTAATTGCTTATTAACTCAAGTATTGCATTTAATGTTGGGTTAATAACATTTTATGTGTCCGTGATTTCAATCATTAAACCATTTTTATCTATAAACTAGCTTCCCGGACAAACTTCGTTATTTTTTTTGATAGTATTAAAACTTTCCGGGGACCTTATGGAACATACAAAAAAATAAATTGGCCGAATTGGGCTAGCCATTCTTGAGTTATGCGCTTACCAACATTCATTTTTATTTAATAAGATTTTATGCTAATACTATAATGTTTCGTTTCCTTTTCCTTTCTGTTAGTAACTCATATTTTTTTTAATTAAAACCGTCTTATTATTTTATTAACTATGTAATAATATTAATCCTTTCCACGCACACTTACGGCAATCAATCCGGAAATCTAGTTTTCAGAATACTAATGTTGTTGTATTTCCCTTATTTTTTCTCATAATCATTGGCTTCTTCGTTTCGCACTGACACTAATGACTCGAAAGAGTCGACTCATCATATTCGAGAAGTCCGATTACAGCTAACGGAGCATGACGCCAGCATTCTTTTTACTGACTTGACCTTGACTTACGCTAATGTCCCATAAAGCTACTTGCACCAAGCTGCTGAAGATAACGAAGAACACTTTATTACGATGTAGAAATACCGGTACGAGATACTTAAGGATAAATGCGGGATCACGCACCTTATTCACGCTTTAATATACATATAAAATATAATTTTCAATGTTAACTTTCTAACGCCTTGCACCCTTCACTCTAAACAGCTTTTTATTATATTTTTTTATTTATTCTTATTTATTTATTTTTATGTATGAAACAATTCTTATTGTTGCCCAAGAACCCTCCTTGGTCAGTCAGGCCTTCGTAAAAATCTAGCCAAAACCAGTTACAACATGATTCAAATGTTGTGCCGACCCTACCTAGGTGGGATAAGGGCAAGAAGATGATAATGATCATTTTATTATAGTTCGATATACAACAATCTTTACATGTAGATCATCTTCTGTATAAACATTCATAGTTTAAACATTTTATCTAAATGTAAATTTTAGTTATAAATCTAAACTAATATACAAATTGACTGCACATTAATGATTTTATAAATAATACGGATAGAGAAATTTAAAAATATGGAATATGAAATTTATTGAATATGAAATTTAAATAATAACTGGTATTACGATTTTATTCCACTCATTTTAATTTTTCCTTCCTTCATCTTCCCACTAAGTTAAAATCCATATACACAGAGCACAGTAGATTGCTACCTCACAATTGAGTTTAATAGTAAAATAAACCACGAAAATCCAAAAATAAAACTTATATGCATACATCACGAATGCAACGAGAAACATGTCGACGTGTCATAGATAATAACAAAGATGAAGCTGAACATGGTGTTGCGCCATTAAAGAGACTACATATTTAAACACCTACGCAAACAAAGCCTAGGGCGAAACCTAGTTAAACAGATGTCCGGTTACGTATTATCGGCTTACAAATATCTCCATTCATGTCCGACGATTAACTAGTACCTCTTTTTTCCATTTACTTAACACGATAGTTTTTACCTGTCTTTTGTTCATTTTACTGTATATATTAATCGCCGTTACCGTAACACTGTTTTATTTATATGAACCAATAGAGGATTTATGAATTTGGCACAGTGACGACCCAAATGGCGTAGTGGGTAGTGTACCTGCCTCCTGCTCGAGAGGGCGTGGGTTCGATCCCCACTACTGGAAAAATATTATGTGATGAACATAGTGTTTTTCTAGTGTATGGGTGTATAGACACCCATGTATATAGATAGAATATATATATAGATAGAATATGTATATAGATACATATGTATAACATGTATTTATTTCCAACAAAAAAAGTATGTTTGCGTATGTTTATCAGTTATCTTGTACCCATAGTACAAGCCTTGCTTAGTTTAGGACTAGATAACGTTGTGTAAAAAATATGCACATAGAAAAAAAAACTTTTTGAAGTGAAAACTTCTTTAGGCGCGTTGAGCACGGGTGAAGAAAAACCATGGAACTCGCGTTATCGTCACCGAACACTTTCCATGTATATGTAATGTACACCTTGTATATATGTATACTGTGTATATACGTGCACTTTTTGGGCGAACAACAACGTGATTAAATCGTGAAGTTCGCGTCATCGTCACCGCACCTTTTCCATGTGCATTATTTATAACAAAAGGAATACGCAAAAATATATTTTGTATTATCGTTATTGATATGATTATCGTTCGGAGTGCCTATAAAATTTTAATTTTGATATTGTTTTATGTTTTCAATCCTGTCGGCAGTCCCCATGAGCTGCCTATGTATTCTTTACGCTAGCTGGCAGCCTGATGTTAAGTAATAGCTGCCGCCAATGGACACCTGCAACCCCCGTTGGGTCACAGGCTACGGGGTCACAGGCTACGGCATATTATACCATTGTGGTATAACTTGATGACGTCAATGTTTGGGGGTTAATACTGTTGATACTCACGGAGGCTACAATAAGAGTTATACCTGTCCTATTATATTGCAAACTAGTCTTTTTAAAAAAGAGCAACTGCTGTTGCCATTGAGTTTCTTGCCGGTTTCTTCTCAACAGAAACTGCTTGAAATGGTGGTAACTTACGAACGTATTGATTTTTATGTAAAATTTTGACGTTTCATAAGAACGCGTAAGCGTCTATGTGAATAAATATATTTTGATTTGATTTGATTTGATGCGTTGCCACTTTTATAATAAAGTGGGCCTCGGTTACCTCACTTACCAGACGAAACGCAGAAGTATAACACTTCTACTTTCGTAAAACAGCAAAGACTGTTGCATATCACAGATACTATTTTTAAGGCCGCATGTAACCGCCTTTTTTTAAACTAAATTAACGACGGCTGTTTCGAGTACTCGAAACTTCGAGAAGTTAAGTTTAAATTAAACGGGATAAAATCCATAGGAATTGTTTCATTTTATAATATTCAATTTTTAGTTTGCCTATACAGTATATATTATAAGCGTCATTACAATATAATAAACTAGGATAAAATATATATAAAAAAAGGTTATTTTCCAATAGAAGCATCTCTTACTTAGTAATTCTCTTGACTTAATAAGATTGAGATACAGAAGAACCAAACTACCTATAAAAAACAGTTCAATTTCCTTAGATAAATACTCGTAGATTTGGTCGTAAAATCTTTCCGCCACAGCGTCAATTAACTACGCTCTTGACTTTCAAAACTGAGCCGACAATTATGGTTACTGACTGACGGTCAGAAAAAAGATAATTTCATTACGGCGCTACTTCAGTGAAAATAAATGAAAAGTGGGTCGATTAGCCTAGACTGTAGACTAATGATGATAGATGCTGAATTCTAATGCATGTACGTACATTGTACACGGATGCCTGTCCATTGTAATCTCTACAATATTGCCATAAGTGAGGATTATGTGTAAGCCTAGGTCAACAACGTATTTTTATGCCTCGTCTATCATTTTGTATCTCTAAAAATTTCTTTAGCAGACTTTTCTTGCTATTAAAGTGGTCATGAATTAAAGCACATATTTTATTAACACCATAATATATACCAATAGTGCAATAAGGAAGATAATACAATTCCTTACTTATATTTATTCATAACGTCCTGTTACATTATTATTATATGTATTGATAAGTCATACCTAAACTTAGCAACCTACTTGAATACTATCATATGTTTGTTAAGAATATTATATTTAAATATATAATGTAGACATGAAATATCTAGCATTTATGGTTTGTTATCTATTAGCATTTCGAAAACAGTTGCTTTCCTTACGAACATTAGATTTCCTATGGCATTTTCTCCTTTAGTGTAAAGGTGCTGAATAAACAACCATTGCACTTGGACAAATACTTGGATACGGAACATCTGTCTGCTGGTCATATAAACATTTGTTACGGAACCCACAAAGTTATTTGTTCAAGTGTACCGATAAAGCAAACTTTAAATTGTGTTAATATAACAAAACATTGTTATAAAATATACTTTGTAATAACATGCTGTTTTCTCTTTACTCTGCAAATATTTTTTAATTTCTAATAATTGAAAGCTGTTTTTATTTTGGCTAAGGGCTTTTTCCTTTTTGTGTGTAATTCAAATAATGATCTCATCAAAACCTTAAATAAAACCTGTACTATATAAAAACAAAAATCTACCATTTCGCGTAGGGTTTTTATTTTGAGAAACATTTTCACATTAGAATGCAGAAAACTGCATATCCGATTACATATATTTCAAAGGCCAGTCTCCAAATCCGTGTGACGGTATATATTTATATATACCTCTTATACGGAGGCTTTCGCCCAGTAAATAGAGGCTATTACTATAATTAAGTCTTTATTATACATCAAAATCGCGGAAGGTTTAACAAAAATGTAATCACGGGAACGAAGTACATCCAGAGTTGGGATAACCGTATATAAAGCATGGCGGAAATGTTAGCCCCGTCTGGGGATCGAACCTACACCACAGCATGCAATGGTGGTTGACTACCTAAAGTGTTGCGACATTCGCCATCCGTTCAGTCAAATGTACATATGTCGTTCACGATTCGCAGCTCACGTATCAACATTACTTAACATTTACTATCGGCGTGACACTAAACTGTCATGTCGTGATGTAACTGTGTCGTCCCACCGAGCTTCCCGCGTCGGCCTGATAGATATCTCGCACGCAACTAATTTACATGACTTTGCAAACTAAGATGAAGATATGAGAGTTTATGCTTCAATTCTAGCATAAACCAAATGGTCATAATAACTAGATTGTCGATGGTTTTCTGTACGTATTGTTCACACCTTGTCAGTCTGTGTCAGTATCGATAGAGATTTTAAATGAAGGGCTCGAATGCTTGCAAAGCCTGAATTACCTGGCGGCTCACCGTTTGTAATAAAAAAAAACTTGTTAAACCCAAAACATGACCGTGGGTGGTATTAATTATATTCGTTATGGTAAGAAACGTCAGGGCTTATACCTCAAAAGACAGTCTAAAAATATCTTTGTTTGTCGAAATTGGTGTCATGTAAATGATTTTTATACGGATGAGGCTATAACAGGGTCAGTAAGTGAAAAAATTATAGCGCCCATCTTCTGTTTCATCTAAACGGTGACTTTCTATTTAATGCAGCATTTGTATCCGTAAATCTATTTTAGATAATATTAGACTTAACACACACTTAATATGCCATACTGATTATTTAATATAATTATCCAACCTTAATTGAATTAATAGATCGTGAGTTACGATAATTAAAAATAATTCAGAAACATTTCGCAGGCTCGTAAAGAGATAAGAGAATGTACATTATTACGAAAGATTTTTTTTTATTTAAATAAATTGCGAGATTGGCTGCGACATTAAGGTTATATATACGATTAGAAAACGTGAATATAAATGAACATAATGTTGACAATAATAAAAAATACAATTTACGCCATATTCTGTGTCAGTGCGATGTTTAGCGGGAAATGTAATGGCGACGAATGGAATGTCTTAAGATACGCGCGACGCGAAATGCCGACTTAGTTCCTCATCATACTGCACCTTATTTATTTTTCTTTACTATTATGGAATGTTGCTTTATACGGTGGCTTTATTGACTTTTAAATCTTCGTCTTTTAAATTTTATTGTTAGATAATATCATTGGATTGAGACGAACTCTTCGTAGTCCAGGCCAAGAGTAAATTGATTGTTCGAGCGCTTTATAGTAGAACTGAACTAGAAGTATTAGACGAAAGAATTAGATCAATGCTTCACTAGAGATACATAAAGACGGTATTGGGCACCATTGAGGATCAGCTGCTCGGCGTATTTTACTGGTCTATCAGGAGATGTTTATTTAACCAATTACTATAAACATAATGCTTAGGAACTGCTTACTTTTCACGTGTTCAGATTCAAGAAACTAGGTAACTCAACTGAAACGAGATATGTCGAGTTAGCAATAAATTTTCTCTACAGAGAATTTCTAAGGTTTTGAAAGAAGAAATTATTTATATAACAGTATCTTTTAACTTACGTCGTAACGTAACCTCACATAATGCACAGGTTTTCTAAAAGTATTGTTAATGCTACAAAAGTAGTTGGTTATCAATCTGACATGGTAAAATATATATCTTCGATTACTGATAATTCTTGTTTTTAACTATAAATTTACATAACCTTGTTAACATTAATTGTCCGCTGAGATTTCTGAACACTGAACTGAAGAGGTTATTGATTTAAGTTTCCATAAATATTATTCATGAACATATAGTTCAGCTTTAGGACATCGTTTATTGGAATGATAAACATCTTTATTAATATAAAGACCTTTAAGGCTTCTATAATCTTTTGTTTAAACGTTTTTTGTACGTATCGATATTAAAGAAATATATTTGTATTTTACTGTAGTAGGGCCGATAAGTTGGGCGATGGGCGTAGGTAATCAATCACTTGCTATCAGCTAATCCATTCCATCCATTCCTATCTAACCAATTTCCCATATGAGAATTTGCTTTTGCATCTGTGACATTCCTATGGCCATTGGCGTTTCCTCGTTGTCGCGCCACGTCCAGCGGATCGGTTGCGCTCTGCAGCACACGTGCCGATCCTGGATCTCCCACGACAGCGCCGTGTCAGGTTGCGTAAGCCGAGCTGATGGGAGTTTATTTTGAAAGTTCCAAAACAATGGACGGTGAGCACACAATGAACTGACCAAGGTGTCTTTTTTTGCAACATTCGATATCCGAACGGCGTCTAATATTTCAGGCGGTATCTATTCTTTTCTGTGAGGCATTGGGCTGTTAATTTGTCTTTTTTTTTCATTTTCGCAAGAAGTTTCGAGAACCAGATATAACTGTGGATCGTGGTGTGGTATCGGATATAACTGTGAGTATTAATTAAAAAAAAGCAATGTGGTCCTTTATCTCGGACATAAATTTGAGAAGTCGATTAGCACGAATTGCTATATATAAGGAATAAGGCATTACGAGGAATATGTAAAAAACTAAAGGCTTGTTAAAAACGGTCAAGTAGTTTTTTTTACAACAAATTACACGCGCACGAAATTTTGGTATTCAAATTTCTTAGATTGTGAGACAAAATCACTTTGATAAAATCGATACTTTGCACTTTGACTAATAAATAAATGGCGGTTTTATATTATTATTTTATATTTATTTATTTCAAACTATAAATGTTTTTTATACTATTTGTTATACTTATTCTTAAACAACAAAGGACATAGGTTGAAATCCTGGCGATAAACTTTTCGTCCATTTTTCTATAAATTTTAAAACTTCATCTTATATGCAGAGAATAGCACTATGTAAATCGATATCATTTAAGTTTTAATAGCAAAGATGACATCTGAGTGCTGATAGTAATAGTGATACTGACATCATCAGTATTCAAATAATTGATTATAAAATTTCATATGAAAAAGTGGGCGTTCGCTGTGAAGGAAACACAAGATGTCGCCAAGAATTATTTAAAATGTAATAAAAATTAAATAAAAACAAAGTAGATAAAATTCATTCCGATTTTCTTCGCTATGAGGATGTGACGTTTTGTTCAGCGGCTAGAGCGTCAGGCACGTATCCCGAAGGCCTCAGCTTCAAATTCTCGCAGCGCCGAAAACTTTTCGAACATTTTTTCCACCAATTTTAAGTTTTTTTTTAACATCATAAAATTTATTTGAAATTTCATCAACGTGATGGTAATAGCGTGTAAGCTGTCCAAACGAACTATTAGACGTACACTAGAAAGAAACAATAACGAATATTTGCTAAGACAATATAACTAATTAAGAAGAGTCCACTTACATGTAGAAACGTTTGCGAAAGTGAATCCAAATCATAAAAAGCTCTTAATGAAGGCTTGTGGAGATTAACCTTTATTTCATTATAAGTTTCGTGAGACCTAGATTCCGACATCCTAGATTTAGTTTTGCTATTGTAAAATTGTTTGCGTTCTCACTATGTTGATTTAATTACAAACATTATAGCATTATAACTATTTATATGTAAGAGGTTGGCAACAGAACGGACAGTTTCACATGATGTTAAGCGGTTATCGCCGCCTATGGACGTATAAACGCAAAAGTATGATACTGTCACTTCACTCAAACCTCTCTGTAGCCGTGATATTTTACAAAACACGTACACACAAAAGAAATAAAATAACGAAAATGTTTCTTATACATCAACAAAAAAGCAAACAAACTACAGAAACAATTAAGGCCTCATAGCGATCTCTGCGTTGTTTAGAGGCTGAGACGGGTTTGGCCAAAACCTGTTTATTTTCACAGCTTTTACACTTTTTACTTGACGCGGGAATTCGGCGTGGATAATATTGTCAAGTTTTACATTATCAATAATCGGGGTACTCGCCGTTAGAAGACGAAGATCATAAAAGAGGTCTCATACGTAAGATCTATGAATACACTAAAAAAAATTTATTGGGCATTTAATTTCTAATTTTAACTTTATATTAGGTTACCTATTTAGAAATAGAACAAGTTATTTGTTGATAAGTTTTTTTTTTTCTTGCTTTTTTTCGTTTATTATGTTGAAACTAATACAAGTTATAAATAACAGAGTATTTATTATGGAACTACCAGAAGTTATTATTGTATTTCGTAACATAATAGCACCAAGTGACTATAGTCCGACTATGTTAGATGAATCAATGGAGCGTGAACATTGAATCTCAGCATATCCTACTATAATATTGAACATTTTTATGTCAGGCTTATTTTTACGCTTGGCTTTAGAAGTTGCGGAACAACAAATTAAACACAAATATTAAGACTTAACCAAGTATGAAGACCACAAATATTATTATTTTATGCTAAATATTTTAGAATGATATAAATTGTTATGTAGGGAGCGCCTATGTTCAACAGTATTCTTAGTCTTTTAAAATAAAAGCCACACGAGTATTCAGCGCTACAAATTAGTAATGGAGCTCACAGAAAAGCTAAGCGGAGTGGAATCCAACGTTTTCCCACAAGGCTATTAAGGAATCATAGGCTCAAATACATAAAACAGTAAGTAAGTAGGTTGGCTCGCTTTTGTATCATTGCAAAAATATTAAATGTACTAGATAACTGAAAAACATACTTAAACATACTTTTCTTTTGTAAATCAATATATTAACACACAGACACTGGAAAAACACTATGTTTATCACACAATACTATTCCAGTAGTGGGGACATAGTGTTTTTCCAGTAATGTGGATCGAACCCACACCCTCAGACGCAAGAAGCGGGATTACTACCCACTACGCCAATCGAGTTTTTAATTTCTCATTGTTATTTTGAAATGAAAATTTGTTATTTTCAAATGGAAAAATGTTAATTTGAAATGAAAATTGTTATTTCGAAAGGAAAAAGTGTTAAAATTACTTTAAAAACCTATAATCTGAATCTCTATATAACAGAGAAATGTGAAATAAACAATAGTAATCAAAACACATCACAATAGGCGGGTGTAATTAAAGATTGCTCCGTTTATTTTGTTCTGATTACGCAGAGATTAGTGGAAAACACAATCGCCACAATAACGGTCATCGAAAAATAACGGTTTAATTACGCAACGCGTCCGTTCGGAATACTTCCGCCAAATTGATCACCCGTCCACGAGGTCTTATCGGCTCCAGTATTAGGGCGGTTCACCGTAGCGTTCGAAACCTCACAAATGTGCCCCTCTCTTGCCATATGGCAATCATTTTCCACCATTCGATCATGAACAGGTTTGATATTCTATATTATACCGAAATGTGAAACTTTTAAGCCATCGCTTAGTGACCTGCCGCTCGGTTTTAATACTCGTCTTATCAAACGAACTACTCGTAATTTCTAAACCTATCAATTCCATTGCTGAACATAAGCCTCCTGCAAAGTGTCCATGCGCTGCCCGCCACCTTTCTTAAGTCATCAGTCCATCGTGCTGCAGGCCGTCCTGTGGGACGTGTGTGTGCGTGTGTAGTGTGCTACGTTTGCCTAATCTTGGTGTTAACTCTAGCACGTGTCCCATTTCCCCCAATGAAAGGCTGCTGATAATAGTTCAATGCAAAATATCGATTATACATTTTGCGACTAAGAATTTTCACTCCTCTCCACAAAATACTTTCAAACGCGGAAACCTCATTGATATCTACATTGAATCTAGGAAGCCTTTAATTTATTACTTATTTACAAACGTTCGCCGAAGGTGTAGAAGATGTTCTATAAAAGTTCTGTGTCGTGGGCATCACGAGAGACATCGCGAGCGAGATTTCAAAAAGGAAACAGTGCAGGTGTACTCGGGTGAGGCGAGGTCAATTCGGTCGCGGCCCGACGCAACAGCCATAGAATGATTGGATACGCTTGCCGATGAAAGGCTTGGGGCAAGTTGAGCTTTGCGTTCATTTTAACTAAGGGTGACCTCGCCCCTTATAGCTGCCCGCGACTTGCCACATACAATGATGGCGGCGTCAGATAAACGCTCCGCGCATTAATATGGCATCATTACTCATGTACGTGCAATTATGTTTTTCGCTAACCCGTGACCGAAGCAGCGACGTGTAAGCGTTGCTTTGAACCATAATCCTGCATTTAATTCGTGTTGACGCCTTGTACGTACACAAACTACACATAGACATTTATGATTTTTATTTAATTGAAAAGGTAGCAAACGAGCTGGTGGTTCACCTTATGTTAAGTATCGTGGTACTTCGTCGGACTGTTGCGTGGTCCTAACACAGCTATATTTCCAGACTGCATTCAATAATTATAAAACTTATATTTGTTTTTTTTTTTTTGTAGAAAAATGTCGAAATATTTTTCGGTGCTGCCAGATTCGTCTTCCGGGAAACGCTCAGGTTTACTGTTCAATTTTCCCACTAAAATTTCAGATGTTAAATATACATAGGCAGGTCTGACAAAATATACATCTTATTATAATTATTTAAAAATTGTGAATATTATATAATATATTAAATAATATAATATATTACAAGTCAGCTTATTTCAAATAATCAAATGTAAAATTAAAACTTTGGAAGGTATGCATTTTCGACTTGTCATATTTAAACGCCTTTTAATATTGAGACATCCTGTCAGGGACGATATACGAAAGGCAGTGACTGGATACGGAAAACCTAGGTTTCGGCTGAGGAACGTGACTTGGAGAGTGCTCTTGCAGTGGACTGGTGAGAGCTGATGATGTTAATGATGAATATAATGGCGCTAGACCAAGGATGAGCAACGCGCGGCCCGCGAGCCGTTTGCGGCCCCTTAAACATGTTTATGCGGCCCGACAAGCATTTGTAAAATTGAATTTATTTTTTCGAATTTCGCCCATCAATATATTGTTATAAAATTAATTATAATAAAATGGTAGTATATACTGAACCGACATATTTTTTGTTCGTTTTTCTGTTCTTTTCTTGTTTGTTTTTACCTTGCATTAAAATTTGTATATGAAATCTTTACTTTTTTAATTTTATATTTTTTTTATTATAATATTTATTATAAATAAAGTTTCGTAAATTATTATGTGCGGCCCGCCAAAAAAATTTGAAATTTAAATTGGTCCATTGATTAAAAAGGTTGCTTACCCCTGCGCTAGACGAATCTAAACCACTACTCAAAGCAAAACGTTTATGCTC